GCAGGGCATACAGTGCTCAATGGTGCATTTTTTGATACCATCACCGTAAATTTAAAAGGTATAACGTTTGTAGACTACGTGGCATGCTGCGTGGCAAAAGGCATTAATATTTTTGTTGATTATAGTCACGGCACCGTCTCTATATCGGTGGATGAGGCCAGTACCGAGGGCCATGTAGTGTCTCTCTTGGAGGCAGCAGGGCTACAACTTCCTGTGATAGGTGTCCTTTCAAAACTCGCAGAACAAAAGAGAGCAATGCCTTTGCAAATGTTACGAAAACATGTCTTTCTTGGGCGTTCAATCCTTCAAAAGTACAAAAGTGAGAGTGAGCTTATGCGGTACATTCACCGTCTTCATAGAAAAGATTATGGTCTCACGCATGGTTGTGTGCCCTTGGGTTCTTGTACCGTGAAACTTAGTCCAGCTGCCGCCACTCTGTCCTTGTCGTGGCCAGAATTTACCAACCTTCACTCTATTGCACCGAAGGAGCAAACGCGGGGACATAGTGCGTTGTGTTTGGATCTGGAGGAGAAAATAAGGGATATTACCGCTTTAGATGCCGTGTCACTTCAGCCAAATAGTGGTGCTCGGGGTGAATATTGCTGGTCTTCGTGTGATCCGCTCGTATCATAATTCAAAAAAGAGAGCCATCGCAATGTTTGCTTGATTCCGGAAAGTGCTCATGGCACAAATTTTGCTTCGGTTCTCTTGGCAGGGATGATGATTGTAAAGATAAAGTGCTTGGCGGATGGAAGGATTGACATGAAGTATTTGGAAAATTCCTGCCAAAAGCATACAAAGAATCTCTCGTGCATTATGATAACGTATCCGAGTACGTACGGTTTGTTTGACAGGGAAATCTTGGCCATTACTTCGATGGTGCACTACGATGGAGGGCAATGTTATATTGATGGTGCAAAGATGAATGCCATGGTGGGTTACACGGCACCTGGATGTATTGGGGGCGATGTGTGCCAGATTAATCTCCACAAAACGTTTTCAATTCCTTGTGGTGGTGGTGGGCCAGGCATGGGTCCTATTGCTGTTCGTCAGCACCTGGCCTCATTCTTGCCAGATTCTGTTTTTATTCAAAATGTTGGTGGTTCCCAGCCTTTTGGTCAAGTCTCTCAAGCAGCATACGGATCGGCGTCTATTCTTCCAGTTTCTTATTTATTACTGTGGATGCTTGGTTCACGGGGTCTCAAGACATGCACGGAGTATGCGATTTTAAATGCCAACTATCTAAAGAAGCGTCCTGACGGCCACTGCCCGGTTCTCTTTCTGGGGGAAAACAATTTCTGCGCTCACGAGTTCATCATAGATTTAAGGCCCTTAAAAAACAGCACAAATTGAGGCAGAAGATGTGGCGAAACGACTCATGGATTATGGCCTTCACTCACCTACCCTGGCATTTCCTGTTGCGGGAACACTCATGACTGAACCCACAGAGTCAGAGTCAAAGCGGGAGTTGGATCGTTTGGCCGATGCACTTATTTCCATTCGTACCGGAATTGCATCCATAGAGGAGGGTGAAGAGAGCACAACGAACAACTTTCTCAAGAATGCCCCGCACACGGCAAAGTGTGTCACATCAGATGATTGGGACATGCCATACGCCCGGAAAACTGCTGCATTCCCTTCGAGCCATTCATACACCGAAAAGTTTGGCCTTCAGTTGGCCGCATCGATGGAAGCTATGGGGACAGAAACTTGATGTGCAGTTGTGCATTGACTAACTTTTGTGAGCAAAACTGTTGCAGTGGGGGGCAGTATTTTTTAATTTATTTATTGCCAATTTTATGTTTTTATTTGTTTCTGCATCCGTTTCTTGGGTGATGGAGTGTTTTGGGCCTATTTGTGTCTGGTGTGATAAAACTGAACGGGGGAGAGGGATATGATTGTGTGGGTGTGTGTGTCTGTCTGTGTGGTCGCAGAATGATTTTATGGTCTTATTCTTTATCTTGTCAGGTGCTCTTCCTTAGGATGTACAATAATTCCAATGGGAAGATGCCTTGCCCTTGCAATCGCCTGGATTTTTCCAGCTTATTATTCCCTTTGTTGATACTGTTGTTGATTTGTCAAGGCAAAGCTTCACTGCAGCCATACAAATGCATGTTTGCGGGATTTTTTTTTTGTCAGGCCAAATGTGGGGGGAACTCAGGCGTCTGCCCTTCCCTCACTGTCGTCAAGAGTATTCCGGATGCTCATCACGCAAACGTCTCAGATGTAATTTTTTCCTCAGTTTTGAATGATGTCTTACACTTCAACAACCCCCAACTTTGAGGTAAATGGGGGCTACGACGAGAGGGAAATTTTCTACACTTTTTTTTGTTGTTGTATCTTTTATTTTTCGTTTTCTCTCGTTGCTGTTAGAAAACATTGAACGAGAGGGTTTTTTGCTCTTTTATTTTATTTGTCCTCTCAGCCGGACGGCCAGTTGTACACCGAAGTGCTCCTCGGCGCCTCAGTTGTCACTGTCAATCGCATGCGCCAACCTTCCGTTGCTTTTTTGCATTGACGCAATTATTTTTATTTATTAACTGAAGCCATTCTGTCCGGAGTGTCACTTTGATTGGATTGTACGGGATTGCCCGCCAACACCATCGAACAAAGCAGGCTGAAGAGTTTAATTATTTAAACGTCGTCTTGTGCGCACGTATTTTTTTTACTTGTTCTGTTGATGTGCACTCAAACAGCGCGGGATCCGGAAATATGCGTGCGTGGGATTATTCCTGCCATTTGAACTGCAGGCAACACCGAGGGGCTGCCACTTTGACTCCGCAGAGTTGTTGTGTCTCTTCGCAGGGTTGTCAGGGACATTCCATGCAGCCTGCTACTGCTGGTGTGTCCTCAAATGTTGTCACTCCATGCGAACAATGTGCTTCAGCAAGTGAGGGTGTTGATTGGGTTTGTGTGCACTCTGATTCTTTTTGCTGCTTTGTGCGGGCACGCAAGACTTGAGTGGTGGGAAAATGGAGCGGGGCGATGCATGGCTGCGTCTCGCCCATCGTTCACTGCACGATGGTGTGGTGCACACTGTGGTGCTGACTCTGCGATGTGACTGCGGTCTCCTGCGCGGCAATGGCGGTGGAGGAGAGTGTTGGCCTGCGGCGGGACGGTGGGATCGTGCCTCCTTTTCTCTTTGTTCCTTCCCTTTTGTGAAGGTGCACTCATTACTAGTGTTAGTGATAGGGCAAACGGACAGACAACGTGAATAAAATAAAATAAAATATAAAAGGGCGATAATGTTGCGGTGTTGTGGCCGATTGCAAGTTGTGTTGCTGCGGAGGCGGTGGGTCTTGACTGTTTCACCGACAGGCGTTGCAGTGCGGCTGCGTGGCGCACCGACCACCGAGCCGTGCGAGTGCCACGCCCAACGCCAGTGGGACTGCGGGACGAGACAGTCGCGGATGTCGTTTGGAGCCAGCGGCACCTGCTGGCCGCAGTTGGGCGGTGCGAGTGGGATGCTTCACCGCACGGGTGTTGTGATGGCGCCTCGCCGTGGCATCTCCGGCGATGGTTCAGACGCTGCAGCTCGACATGTGGCGGGGAGTAAAGTGTGGCCGCAGTGGACCATGAGCAGCAGCGTTGAGGACATTCTGCTGGGTGGAAGCAATAACAGCACAGACATGAAGCTGAACGATTTCCTCCGGAGCAACTTGGGCGATGAGTGGGTTGTGGAAAGAAAAGGGAACGTCATTATGGAGGCGTTTGTTCAGGAGCCGGATGCTTACGTGCAAGACCAGCGGCTTCTTAGAATTATTTTTAATTTAACAGAGTACCAAGAGATGGAAAGGGAGTTGGATGAGATGAAAATTCTATTGGAGGCCATTACTAAGCTTCATCACGAGGGTGTGGTCTCGCTCGAGCAATGGAGGGACTATGAGGGAAAGGATACAGTCACTCCACTTGCAAGGGGAAAACTAAACGCAGCCCTCACTCAGGTACTGAGAGAAGCGTGGCGGAAGGCAGAAGAAAGGGTAAGACGAGCGCAAGAAATGAAATTTACCTTTTCCACTAATATCGAAGATGTACTGTTTAAAGGAGGAGTCCGCGTCAAGGAAAAGAAGCTGAATGATTTTCTTACGATGGAATTGGGCGGCAGGGGCGTTGTGGGCACCAATCGGAGTGTTTTGCTGAAGGAGTTTTTCAAGGATCCCACGAAGTATATCCGTGATGAAGGAGTATTGAAAGAAATACAGATAACCGATGCTTATGAGAGGATGGAGAGGGCTGTAAGGGATGAAATAATCTTCGAAAAAGAT